CGCCCCGTGAAGCGCTGCCTCGCACCCAGGTGGGGGGGAGACAAGGTAGGTAGGTAGGTAGGTAGGTAGGTAAGATATCATCACCTCAGGAGGGGGGTGGTGATAACTTCCTCAATAGCTCAAGGGGGCGTTTCTTTCAAAAAGGTTAAAAACCACTGCTTTAGACCTCTGGCTGCGGAGCCAGAGGCTGGGAGTTTGAATCCCCCACGGGGACTCCTTGACTGGGGCTGGACTGGATGATCTTTAGGGGCCCCTTCCGGCTCAGCTGTTCTAAGGTGGCCATTATTTAATTAATTTAGTATTAGAAAACATACACACACCCAGGAGAATGGGAGTCTGACCCACGGCTCTGAATCTAGTTAAAATGTTGTTTGTTTGTTTGTTTGTTTATTAGATTTCTATCTCACCCACCCTTACACAAAACTAGCCCTGACTATGACATGATGTGGGAAATAAATGAATAATATCATCTTCTCTCTTCACCTCTGTCTCTCTCCACGTTGCAGTTTCCCGTTCAAAAATAGATAGCTCTGTCTGTTTGACCACCGTGTTTTTAAAATCTTAACCGCTGGTTGAGACTCAGATATGGAGCTGGAAAATTTCACGGCTGCTTAATTTCATCCCCTGTTCCTGCATTTGTATCGTCTCTTACCAATGTCTCTGAATGAGTTATTGACACTCTTAAGTGCCAGTTTTTGAGGGAGGGGAGGACTACCTGGGGAGCTTGAAGCTATTCTCCTTGGCGGATCTACGGGGCAAAAGGAATTTTGCCGGAAATTCAAACTTCTACAACAATATTCCTGCCTCTGTTTAATTTAATTAATTGTTTTGTTTAGTCTATAATTATTGATGATCTACATTCTTATGATTGATTGATTGGTCTGTCACCATCCTGTATCCTCTTATAGACTTAATAGTTGTGTTTTTTCTCCCATGCTCTTGCCTAATGTCTTTAACAGTTGTTTGCTCTTGAACCTTAGTTTATGTTGTGAATGTGATTTGTTTTAAAGCTGCTCCAGAGCAGTGGAGGGAACAGCTCCTGGGGGGGGGGGAGAGAAGGTTCCTTCAAAAAAAGAGATACCTTTGGCCCTAAAACATCTTTTTTGGCCCTCACACCTCTTTGGCAATCAGGTTGATTAATTAATCCATGGATCAATGGGTGCATCCTTCCCCCTTTCTCCCAAACATGAGCTTGGAAGAGTCACAGCAAGACTTAAAATAAAAATATTCAGATACAACTGTGAACGCAAACGTGCTAATTCAATCCAATAAGGCTCAATTCAGGGGCTCAGGTCAACGAGAGGAGAGATCCGTCAAATCCCTTGAACTTCTAGGAGAGGAAATGAGAGCGAAGGAGGAGGGGAAAAGAGGATAAACATCCATTTTGGTCTATACAGTGGACCCTCTACTTACAGAATTAATCCGTATTGGAATGGTGGCTGCAAGTCGAAAAGTCTGTAGGTCGAAACTCCATTGACCTACAATGCATTGAAAACTGATGAATCCCATAACTGGCAGTTTTTATTCTATTTTTGTTCCATTTTGTTTTTTTTCTGGTCTGTAAGTCGATTCTCCGTCTGCAAGTCGAATCTAAATTTTGCGGCCAGAGACGTCTGTAACTCGAAAAGTCTGTAAGTCGAGGGTCCACTGTATTCAGAGTCGATTCCGGGAGTCTCTGTTTGAGACCCTGTCATGGAAGAAAACTGATGACAGAGATCCATCCATCCATCCACCCACTAAATTTAATCATTTCATCCCCAGGTTTGCTGGAGTTTGCCATGTTTCTGGGTGACTCTGCTCCTTCTTAAATGGGAATTAGATGCTACAATAAAGAGCTACAAATAATTCATGGGCTTGGTTGTTGTGGGTTTTTCGGGCTCTTTGGCCGTGTTCTGAAGGTTGTTCTTCCTGACGTTTCGCCAGTCTCTGTGGCGGGCATCGTCAGAGGAACAGGAGGAGGAACTCTGTTCATGCTCTGTTGCTGTTTGTTGGGTGGTTGAGTATTTATAGCTGTGGGAACAGCTTTTGTCCTTTTCAGGGGATGGGGTGATGATGGTGATCCATGTGGTGTTCTTGTTGTTGTTGTTGTGGATGTATTGTTCTGATAAGGGGGGAGAGATTATCTGTCACTGTGATTGATGGGTATCTCTAGCTGGTCTTTTGTGTGCAATGATCCCCGGTCCTTGTGGCTGGGTAGAGTTCATTGACCTTTTTGCATGCTGTATTTTCCAGTGCTGGCAGCCAGGTCTGATTAAGTTTTAGACTTTCCTCTTTTTTTCTTGAAGCTCTGCTGGTGTTTATGGATTTAAATGGCTTCCATGTGCAGTCTAACATAATGATTACTGGTGTTGTCCAGTACTTCAGCATTTTGAAAAAGAATTTCATGTCCAGCTTGTTTTAGGGCATGTTCAGCTACTGCTGATTTTTCTGTGTTTTTTTTTTAAACTGCAGTGTCTCTCATGTTCTTTGATTTTGGTGTGAATGCTGCATTTTGTGGTTCCAATATATACCTGTCCACAACTGCAAGATATCCGGTATACTCCTGCAGTGGTGAGGGGGTCCCTTCTGTCCTTTGCTGACCATAACATTTGTTGTATTTTTGTGGTGGGTCTGAATACTGTTTGCAGACACGGCAGAAAAAAACCAGTGTTTGTGTCTGTGTTAATAACCTTATTAGACCCATAAATTGCAGTGAATCAGGCTGGAAAGAAAATCAGGCCAATTCCCCCCCCCCCCCTCCT